ACACACACACACACACACACACACACACACACACAGTTAAAGAAGCCCCTGAAACCACACAAAGGGGCTCTGCATTTCACACACTTTCCATTCAATGGTGGCTGCATGTAACTGTAACCATGATCAAAGGAGATCTCAGCTGAGTTAGCAAACAGACCGCGGCATTCAGGATGAAGAAAGTGTGACAAAGATGGAAATGTGTGCGATGCACCCTCAGACGTGTCAGCAGGTGCAGGCATTTACACCCGGCTCCACGTCAGCACCTTCATAGCTGATGTCCATCTCGTCTCCCTGAATGGTGTTGCTATAGCAATAATAATGTTTGTATTAATGTACGAGTGCTGTCACAGGTGATATGATATCACAGCACCAGTGTATGTGCTGTCTTTTTTTGTAATATATCAACCTGCAAAGGTTTGGGCTCAGCTGCAGCTGAGGAGCTCTGCTGATGGTGTCAATGTTCGAGGGGTCCTGAAGTGTAGCTGCATGTGACCATCACAGATCAGTCTACCTGTACATACAACTATGAAGTGCACTGTGAAGCTCCCAGGTTAATAACTTATAACCAAGGTTTGCGTAAAACATAGTGGCCCCTTCATTTCAACCATGGCGAGCTTGCATGTACTTCTTAATTTGATGGACACACAAACAGGGCTCTTCAAGAGGAACGGCACATCATGCATAAAACGTCTGAATTGACATCTTTGGTTTCCCTGTATTAGCATCACTTCTACACAAGCATGGCGTGAGTGTCCTACCTTCTATGGTGATGGAGTCTGGTATGAAGATGGAGCTGCTGACACTGTACATTCCTGGGAGAACAATCACCAAGTCGCCCTGATAGCACGAATCCACAGCTGATACCGGCTCTCTGTGGAACTACGTACATGACACAGGCTTTAGACAGACAGTCACCATTAGCAGCTTACAGTCGCCTCACTATGGTTACAAGACAACAACATTAAAATTTGGTGTGTAATAGAGCATGAATGCTGTCAGTGCGAGGGGTTAAGGTGAAGGTTTGGGTGGCTGTAGCTCAGGGGTTTGAGCATGTCATCTGCTAACTGGAAGGTTGGTGGTTCAATCCCCGTCTGCTCCAGTCTGCATGCCAAATACCTTTAAGCAAGGTACTAACCCCAAGTTGTTCTCTGATGCATCAATCGGAGTGTGAACGTTAAAAAGAAGGAAAGAAAGGATAGAAAGAAGTGCTTGTGGGTGTGAGGCATGTTGTAAAAAGCGCTTTGAGTTCAGGTAGAGTAGAAAAGAAGAAGAAACAATCCAGTCCAAACTCCAAATGTATGCGTCTCGATTAGCCGATTCGCTGACGTGATCTTTGGACACGCAGCTATGCTTCTGTGGAACTGACCTGAATTTCAGTGTCTTCAGATGAGCATAGAGGAATGAGTCTGGCACTAAGCAGGGACTGCAGCTGGACGGTGCTGCAGGATGCTGTAACCACATGAACCACCTTTGCACCTGAAGCTCGAGGTCCTCTGCTCTGCACACACTGCTGCCTCGTATTTCCTTTATAGGCCAGCACGTATCTACATGAGAGGAGGGGTGTAGAACACTGGGCGTGAGAAGGAACAATGAAGGACATGCACACGAGGGTTTTAATAATCGATTAAAATCGATTCTGGCTTGGATAACATGAAATCGATTCATTAAAATCCTGAATCGATTTTTTTTATAGAAATGTATTTTGCCCAAAATGCCAGAATCTCAGGTTAAACCTCAAAATTTCAACAACCACCAAACAGCTAAGACAGTAAATGAGAGCAGGTACACGGCTTCTGCACAGAGACGTGAACACAAAGCACCGACCCGCCGACAGATCAGAATCAATGAGATGTGACTTTCTCACCCGACGGCACGGACACGGTCGGGGCTGAAAGCCGACAGCTCGCTGTTTCTGATCCGTCGGCAGGTCGGCGCTTTGTGTTTACGCCCTTTTTGCGCTGTTAGTTTGATCTCTCTCCAAACTACGCTTCACCTCTTCACCTTTTCTGCATTATTCGCTTGCTTGTTACACACAAGTCTACCGTTGTTTACAGCCTGTCGGACGCTGTTTTTTTTCCCCTTTACTCTCTTGGAAATGAGATTTTTAATCTCAATGAGATTTTTTACCTGGATAAATAAAGGATTAATAATAACTTACTTACTGAACAAATTTAAACTCTTTAAAATTATACAAAATGCCTGTTAGCCGTATCTCTAATAAAACCGCTGTAACGTCAGAGGTAACGTTTATATGTTCGTTTATATGTTGATTAATGGTTTTCTTTTGTTTTTGATCTACTGCAGAATATTTTTATAAAATCCAGGCCAGGAAATCACCTTCATGTTTTTCTGTGTTTTATGCTCAGCTACTTTGACACAAAGGCCTCGCTGTGATGCTCACACCTTTGATAAAGTCTTGCGTGTGTCAGTTTCCTTTTTATAGATACAAAAATATGGAAATGTACTGATCTGAATTATAATATTTCTGACTGTCTGAGGCAAAATTTCCCAGATTCAAATCGAACTGAATCGAATCGATTCTAGAAATCAGTGACGATGCCCAGCCCTGATGCACACTACCTCAGCAGGGGGTTCTCAATGATGCGCAGCTTGCGTTTGAAGGTCTCCAGCTGGTCACAGAGCTTCAGGCCCTCTACCATGGACACGTTGTCGAGCTCCGAGTCCGAGTCGGCATTGAGGCCACTGCGCAACGCGGAGAACTGCTGGAAGCACTTGGAACACTTCTCCAGTAAGGACTGGTACTCTGCCACCAGGCCTGCTGGGACTCTGTCCTCCAACATGTCGTAGTAGCTACGATAAGACATGTTTTAGTCAGGGCTAC